AGATCATGGTTCGATTCCCGGTCAGGCACATGCCTGAGTTGCGGGCTCAATCCCCAGTAGGGGGTGTACATGAGGGAGCTGATCAATGATTCTCTCTCATCACTGATGTTTCTATCTCTGTATCCCTCACCCTTCTCTGAAATCAATAAAAATAAAATATATATGTATATTTTTAAAAAGAGAACATAGTATTTAGAGCTTGAAAACAGACTATGAGCCATACTAACAGTCACAAAAATTTTAAGTTATATAAAGTATAGTTTTAGTAAATTTCTAAGACAGCTAAAAATTCATTTAGAAAATAAAAATTCTAAGAATTTTTTTTAAATGTATTTTTATGTTCCCTGACCTGCAATCAACCAGGATCTCCTGGTTCACAAGTCAACGCTCAATCACTGGTCCATGCTAGCCAGGCAAATTCTCAGAATTTTGAGAATGGAACACAGTCATGTTAGATTGGTATTTAAATTTTTTAAAATGGGCAAATGACTTAAATAGACACTTTTCAAAAGTTACATACTGAAGGCCAAGAGACATATGAAAACATGCTCAAAGTCACTAATCATCCAAGAGATGCAAATCAAAACAACAATGAGATATCATCTCACACCTGCCAGGATGGCTACCATCAACAAATCAACAAATGGCAAGTGTTGGCGAAGATATGGAGAAAAAGGAACCCTTGTGCACTGCTGGTGGGAATGCAGACTGGTGCAGCCACTGTGGAAAACAGTATGGAGTTTCCTCAAAAAATCAAAAATGGAACTGTCATTTGACCCAGTAATCCCACTTCTAGGAATATATCCAAGAAACCAGAAAGACCAAACAAAAAGGACATATGCACCCCTATGTTCATAGTAGCACAATTTACAATAGCTAGGATTTGGAAACAGCCTAGGTGCCCGTCAGCAGATGATTGGATTAAAAAACTGTGGTACATCTACACAAGGGAATACTACACTGCTGTAAAAAAAGAAAGAACTCTTAACATTCGCAACAGAATGGATGGGCTTGGAGAACATTATGCTAAACAAAATAAGCCAGTTAGAGAAAGATCAATATCACATGATCTCACTCATTTGTGAAATATAATGAACAACATAAACTTATAAACAAAATAAATGCAGAACCTGGATGGAATTGGAGAACATCATGCTGAGTGAAATAAGCCAATCAATGAAAGAGAAATACCACATGACCCCACTCATTTGTGGTTAATAAAGATCATTATAAACTGATGAACCAAAAGATAGATATAGAGACAGTAAAGCAACAAGCAGATTGTCAAATTACAGCGGGGAGGGGAGGAGGGTCTGGGGGAGATAATGAGTCAACCCAAGGACTTGTATACATGCATATAAGTACAACCAATGGACATAAAACTCTGGGGAGGGAGGGGATATGTGTGAGGGAGGGAGGGGGGCAAAAAAAAATCAATAAAATATGGGGGGGAAAAGAAAAAAGAAAAAAATAATAAAAAATTTGTCTCTCAAAAATCAATAAAATATATTTAAAAAATAAAATAAAAAATAAATTTAAAAAAAATGCAGAGACAGAGAAGCATCAAACAGACTGCCAATCTTCAATGGGAAGGTGGCAGGGAGGTGGTAAGAGATCAACCAAAGGACTTGTATAGCCGAAACCGGTTTGGCTCAGTGGAGCATCGGCTTGTGGACTGAAAGGTCCCAGGTTCGATTCCGGTCAAGGGCATGTACCTCGGTTGCAGGCACATCCCCAGAAGAGGGTAAGCAAGAGGCAGCTGGTCGATGATTTTCTCTCATCGATGTTTCTAACTCTGTATCCCTCTCTGTAAAAAAATCAATAAAATATATTTTAAAAAATGACTTGTATAGATGCATATAAGCATAACCAATGAACACAAACACTAGGAGGGTGACGGCTTGTGCTGGGGGGTGGGGTGGTCGGGGAAAAATGGGGGAATATGAGACATATGTAATACTATATGTAATACTTTAAACAATAAAGAATTTAAAAATAAATTTTAAAAGCATCCCAGGAAAATATAATAAATGTTTCCACTGCTATAGTATTCCTCTGGGTAACAAAAGCCAAAAGGTCTCTGCTTGCTTTAGCATTGGTAGAAGAATCTCCTTTCATCATGTTCAAAATACTCAATGAAAGTGGAAACTCAAAAACTTTTGAGTTTATAATAATTTTCATGTATAATATACTCACTGTACCACAGATCTATAGGCTTTATATACATTATCTCATTTCTTGGCTTATTGTGAAGATCAAGACAGAGTTAGCACTAGTTTTTATATTAGAGAACTTAGCTGAGAACAAGAATATAACTTCCTGTAAGTTAAAAGAGAGGGTGTGTCAGAAAGCAGATCAAGGAGACATCAGAATAGTAAGAGTATCATTGGTCTCATCACACCACTATGGTTCTAGACTGGAACACATATACATTTAGCAAAACAAAAGCAAAGATGTAAATGGACTCTAACCCAGTATTGTCCAATACAGTAGCCACTAGACTCATGTAGTAATTTTTTTTCCAATTAGCAATAATTGCATCTCGGATAAACCTCATTAGCTACCATACTGCCACTGCACAAAACTTCATGTGATGATTTAAATAAAATAAAAAATTTAGTGCCTGTTCACTCCCACCACATTTCAATGCTCATTAGCTATATGCGGCTTATTGGACAACATTATAAAAAATATTTCCATAACTGCACAAAGTTCTATTCAACAGCATTCCTCTAGCAGAAATCCCTTGTATTCAAAACAGCAGTAGACACACAACTAATGTTTGGTGAGTGAATGAATGATAAAAGACAAATAGGCTTCATTAGGCCTTAATGAGCTACCCTCAGGAAAATAAGCTAATTATAATAACTAACGCTTACCAGGCACTTAACACATGCCAGGTATTATATGTGCTAATTCAATCAATGCTTGATAACTCTATGAGGTATTTACTATCATAACCCTTATTTTACAGAGAGAAAAAACAAGAATCCAAGAGGTTGAGTAATTTTTCCCAAATCCAGGCAGTTTGATCCAGAATCTAAAGCCTTCATTTCTTTTTAACTTTTTTTTTTTTAATTTCCTACTCGAGGATGCTTATTTTTTTTTTGAGGGGGAGGGAGAGGGAAAAGGAGAAGAAAAGGGAGAGGAAAACAACCTGGGCATATGCCTTAACAAAGAATTGAATCCAAGACCCTTTTGGTGCACTGGTTGATGCTCAAATCGAGCCACACCAGCTAGGGCTCATTATACTATACTACTTCCATTGTCCGTGATGATCATGATGACCAAAAAACCAGTCACCATGAGGTGCATTGAGCACCTCTAAGTCCCTGCCCCGTGGCCTGTGAGCGGGTCTTCCTGCCACCCACCCCAATTCCCCTTGTTCATCATTGCTGATCCTTCAGAGTCTGTGGACTGGGGGCAGGGACCAGGAGGTCAGCTGTTCAGCCCGCTCACCAGTCCCCAGACCTGCCCCGTTATTACTCAATGTGAAATCAATATTTATTTTTAAATCTTTATTGATTTCAGAAAGGAAGGGAGAGGGAGAGAGAGAAACATCAATGATGAGAGAGAATCATTGATCGGCGGGATCAAGCCTGCAACCCAGGCATGTGGTCTTGACTGGAATCGAACCCATGACTCCTTAGTCTGCAGGCTAATACTCTACCCACTGAGCCAAACTGGTTAGTTTGGAAATATACTCACCTCACTAAAAAAAAAGTCAAGATAATCAAAGTAAGGAAGATTCAGATAGTATTATCAGAAAGTGATAATTATATAACCCTATTTTAAAAAATTCTCCTTTAAGCTGAAACCGGTTTGGCTCAGTGGTAGAGTGTCGGTCTGCAGACTGAAAGGTCCCAGGTTCGATTCTGGTCAAGGGCATGTACATTGGTTTTGGCACATCCCCAGTAAGGGGTGTGCAAGAGGCAGCTGGTCGATGTTTCTCTCTCATCGATGTTTCTAGCTCTCTATCTTTCTCTCCTCCTCTCTGTAAAAAATCAATAAAAATATATATTTTTAAAAATAGTTATTGTAAAAATTCTCCTTTAAAAAGGTAAACTATATCACCTCAAGTGAATGCTAAAAGTAAGGGTATACAGTCTGGGGCATAAATTCATTGTCATTTTCATTCACTTATTTAATTATAATTCCTTATAAAGAAATTAAGAAAACTAAATAACTGTATAAAGACTAAAATCTTTTTTTCTGTGATGTCCGAGTTGGTTTAGCTCAGTGGATAGAGCATCGACCTGCAGACTAAAGGGTCCTGGGACTGATTCCGGTCAAGGGCACATGCCTGGATTGCGGGCTTGATCCCCAGTAGGAGGTATGCAGGAGACAGCCAATCAGTGATTCTCTCTCATCACTGATGTTTCTCTCTCTCTCCCTCTCCCTTACTCTATGAAATCAATAAAAATATATTTTAAAATAATTATAATAAAAAAATAAAATCACTTTTTCTTTGACCAAAGTAAGAAAAACTGTTCAAATGAGCTGCTACTAAGAGTAAAACAATTTGAGAGACAGATGAAGTTGCTTTAGTAAATGCAGTTAACTACCAGAAAATTAAGTCTCAATAGAAAAAGACCTACATGCCGGGACCGGTTTGGCAGTGGATAGAGCGTCGGCCTGAGGACTGAAAAGTCCCGGGTTCGATTCCGGGCAAGGGCACGTACCTTGGTTGCGGGCACATCCCCAGTGGGGAGGGTGCAAGAGGCAGCTGATCGGTGATTCTCTCTCATCATCGATGTTTCTAACTCTCTATCCTTCTCTCTTCCTCTCTGTGAAAAATCAATAAAAAAAAATATTAAAAAAAAAAAAAAGAAAGAAAAAGACCTACACAACAGCTAAACCCCAGCAAGACAGACTCAGTAAGAAATCTTGATTGCTGTGGGGTTTTTTTTTTTAGCTGTTAATGCTATTCTAACAAGCTTCCAATAATGTTCTGACTTTTTCACTGACCCCGAGGAAGGAAGAAAAAAAAAAGCCATTACCTAAGGATGTTGGGATGGGAGAGTCTATTCATAAGCTGGATTTCCTTCAGCATGTTTGCCCGGTTACTACTCAATGTGTTCATCTTAAGAGCCATCACCTGACCAGAAGCTCGGTGTCGCACCTGGAAAATAAAAGAGAACAAGAAAGAGGCTCAAGGACAGCAGAAATATATGAGGTCAAAATCTCCACATGTAGAACAAGCCACTGTGTTTTACTTTAGATAAAATAGACTTACTAGTCTATTTTCTGTAAACTCTATGATTATATTAGGGTCTCATGTCCATTGATGAAGATGGGATTTATTCCATCCAAGACCAAAATTATTCCACAGAAATTCCTTGAAATGACAATAGCCCAAACGTTTAGCATATCTATTATTATAGGACAGACATCACAGCTATGGTAGAATTCAAAGGAACAAGAGGGCAGGGAGAAACCAAGACGGCAGCATAGGTAATAGCATAACTGTAGCCTCCACAACAATTTAAAAAAATACAACTAAACTATAAAGTGGACATTATCCAGAACTACAGGAAAGTTGACTGACTGGAAAATTCTACAATGAGAAGGAAAGAGAAAACCAGAAGGAAAATCAGAAGAGCTGTAAAAGCCTAAGATATGGAGACACGTTGTGTGCTTGGAGAGGACGGAGCCTGAGAGGGGCGACTGAGTAGCCTGGCTGGCATTCCCTAGCGGGAAGGAGATAAAAGCTATAGACTGTGCTGAACCCCAGTTTCAACAGCACTGTACCCCAGTTCTGAGCGAGACCCTGGGGACCCAGGCTCATACAGAGGGAATCTGGGCTGTAAGGCCAAAGCTCAGGGGAGCGGCGAAACACAGAGCCCCCGAATCACGCTCATTTCGCGCAGAGGACGGACTGTTGATTGAGTAGCTGGATTGACCTAGTGGGAAGGAGACATAAGCTCCAGACTGCTCTTAACCCCACTTCCAACTGCAGTGAACCCCAGTTGCAGGCTTGTTGGGGGAAAGACTAGATTGTCTGGTAGCAGGCGAAACTCTAGGGCATCTTTCTCTCAGAGGTGCTTGCATATAGTACCAAAGGACACTGAGGAACACTGAGACTCAGGAACCTCATAGGGCGGGGTAATCGGAAGCCAAATCTGTAGGCTCCACCCTGAAACTCTGCCCCATCCAAGCTGAGCACAGAGGCTCTTGCAGTTTTCCAAGTCTAGTCGAATAAGTCTGTCTCCTGACATAGATACAGCTGATCCTCCCACCCTACCAACTCAGAGAAGTAGCGAAAATGCAAAGACAAGGAAACAGATCACAACAAAAGAAATGGAGGACAAAAAGCGACTGGATATAGAGTTCAAAACCACACTTATAAGGTTTTTCAAGAATTTCCTAGAAAAGGCCAATAAAATAAACAAGACCTATTAAGATATGAAGAGGGATCAACTAGAAATAATAAAGGATCAACTAGAAATAAAGAATACATTGTCTGAATAAAAAATATTATAGAGTCCTAAAAACAGAATGGAAGATTGCAAAAATCATGTCAAAGATTTGACATGAGGCACAAAGAGCCAGAGGACCCTCCTCCGCAGAAGCAAGAAGACAAGAGAATCCAGAAAGTTGAAGGTAGTGTAAGAAACCTCTGGGACAACTTCAAGCGAACCAACATCAGAATTATGGGCATCCCAGAAGATGCCAGAGCAAGATACCGAAAACATATTGAAAGAAATAGTGACAGAAAATTTCCCCCACCTGGTGAAAGAAATAGACTTACAAGTCCAGGAAGCACACAGAACCCCAAACAAAAGAAATCCAAAGAGGACCACACTAAGATAAATCATAATTAAAATTCCAAGAGCAAAAGACAAAGAGAGAATATTAAAAACAGCAAGAGAAAAGCAGGTAGTTACCTATAAAGGAACACCCATACGAATGTCAGCTGATTTCTCAACAGAAACCATGCAGGCCAGACGGGAATGGCAAGAAATATTCAAGGTGATGAATAGTAAGAACCTACAGCCAAAAATACTCTACCCAGCAAAGCTATTACTCAGAATTGAAGGCCAGATAAAGAGCTTCACAAATAAATAAAAAAAAGCTAAAGGAGTTCATCACCACCAAACCAGAATTATATGAATTGCTGAAGGGGGTTCTTTAGGAAGAGGAAGAAAATAAAGATAAAAACTATGAACAACAAATATGTAACTAGTGAATCTAAAAACCAAGGGAATTAAAAAACCTGACGAACAATATTAAATGTTGAATATCATAGAATCAGAGATACAGAAGGGGAGTGGACTGACAATTCTCAGGGAAAAGAGGAGTGGGGGGTGCGGGAAGAGACTGAACATAAACTGTGTACTTATGGATGAGGACAGTGGAGGGTGGGGAAAGGGCAGAGGGTGGGGTGGGAACCTGGTGGAGGGGGAAAAAATGAGAAACTTTTGTAATAATATGAACAATAAAGATTTATTTTTAAACAATAAAATAAAATAAAATAAAAACAAAAATAATTTAAAAAAAAAAAAAAACACACAAAGGAACAAGAGGGGGAGTAGGAAGGAAAACACTAAGAACCATAAGAACCCTAATCAGAAAAACTTAGAATACTGGCTATCTCTCCTCTCTTCTAGATCACTTAGTAAGATTTGGAACTCAACTCTTTTCCTAGTGCATCAATGATTCTGTTGTCATGTACCTCGTGATTGATAAAAGAGAACTAGCCTTCCTTTTCAGATCCTGCACGGATAAGTTAAATGAGACATTCATATACAAAGAACACACTGACAGTATTTTTCCAACTCTATTTACAGAAGACATCTGTGTTTTGATAAGAGTTCTCCATTCTGAAAGTCATTCTTCTTCCCCCCACCCCCTATCATCTGAAAACTAACACTGAATTTTTAACAAAATGTCTGCTTTTAAGAAAGTCTGATATTAAAACAACATGTGAAATTCAGGGATAAACAACCTGTATTTCAAACTAATCAGAAAGAACCCTACTTCCTTAAACAAGTGGACAAGATGATGAACATGTTCATAACTCATTGTATTTTGTCTTTCATCTGCATCAAATATTCTTCTCCTTTCTTCTAGCTCCTCAAATTTTATTTATCTTTCAAGCTATACGCAATATCCCATCCTTGCGGAAGCCTTCCTTTACTCTCTCTGGAAATTATTTATACTACCTCAGCACAACATTCATAACACCAGTATTCCATTCACCATACAGATCTGTCTATAAATTTGCATATCTCCCACTAGGCTATAAAGCATCTTGAGACTGGGAAGTATATTATACTCATTCTTGTCTCACAGTGCCTAGAATGCCTGTCACATCATAAGGGCATAGTGAAAACAACAGCAACAACAGTTAAATTATACTTCTAATATAATTTCTAAGGGCCAATAAATCATTTATTTATCCATTTATTTATTTGGGGTGGGTGGTGGGGCAGAATGCTTTTCTTTCTTTTTCTTTTTTAGTGGCAAAGGTTGGGGGGAGAATGGAAACAGAAAAGTAGTATGTTTTGGTCGAATTTTTCTCAATTTTATCATCTAGAAAATGACAAGCAATAAGCTATATGGCTAGTCAGATAAGAAAGAGAATAAAGCCTAAACAGGTTTGGCTCAGTGGATAGAGTGTCGGCCTGCGGACCAAGAGGTCCCAGATTCGATTCCGGTCAAGGGCATGTACCTTGGTTGCGGGCACATCCCCGGTCGGGGGTTTGCAGGAGGCAGCTGGTCGATGTTTATCTCTCTTCAACGTTTCTAGCTCTCTATCTTTCTCCCTTCCTCTCTGTAAAAAATCAATAAAATATATAAAAAAAGAATAAATAAAAAAATTGTCATTGCTTTTCATGAAGATGGTACCAAAAGCAACAGAAGTCCCTGCCCCTCCAAAGCAGAAGCCAAAGCAAAGGCTTTGAAGATCAAGAAAGCAGGACTGGAAGGAGTCCATAGCCACAACAGAAAGATATGCCTATCATCCACCTTCCCACAGCCCAAGACACAGCAGCTCTGAAAGCAGCGCAAATACCCTTTGAAGAGCGTCCCCAGGTGAAGCAAGCTGGAACACTATGACTCCTAACTACTGAGTCAGCCATGAAGAAGATAGAAAACAACAACACATTTGTTCTGTTCATTTGTGGATGTCAAGGCCAACAAGCACAAGATCAAACAAGTTTTGACAAAGCACTAAGAAAATGATGTTGCCAAGGTCAAAACCTGATCAGGCCTGAGGGAGAAAAGAAGGAACATATTCAACTAACTTGTGACTATGATGCTTTAAATGTTGTCTACAAAGCTGGGGTCACCTAAACTGAGCCCAGCTGGCTAATTCTAAATATAAAGATGTTTTCACCATAAAAAATTGTTATAATAGCAATAATATAGGTAATATTTATAGCACTAGCTACATACTAGGTTCTGCTGTGTAATTGTTTTATTTATATTAACTCATTGAATCCTCAAAATAATTCTATGAGGTAGGTAGGTATTAATATCCCCTATTTTATAGCTTAAATCATCCTGCTCAGAGAGATAGCAGAAAACCAATTAATGCCATTTGCCAACCACACCCAAGGACAGATAAAGTTTAGGGAATAAATCTCATTTTGGCACGTTAGCATAAATCTAATGAATATTCTATTCAGGTCTTCCCCTAAAACCTCCCTTAACCCTTCCTTCCCACCCTTAAAAAACCCTCATAATGGAGGGAGGGGGGCAAAAAAAAAAAAATTCAATAAAATATGAAAAAAATAAAAAATAAAATAAAATGTGGGAAAAAAAAAAAAAAAAAAACCCTCACAATGAAAAACCCATCTAGCCAAAACCGGTTTGGCTCAGTGGATAGAGCATCGGCCTGCGGACTGGAAGGTCCCGGGTTCGATTCCAGTGAAGGGCATGTACCTTGGTTGCGGGCACATCCCCAGTAAGGGGTGTGCAAGAGGCAGCAGATCGATGATTCTCTCTCATCGATGTTTCTAACTCTCTATCCCTTTCTCTTCCTCTCTGTAAAAAAATCAATAAAATATATTTTTTAAAAACACATTCCTAGACCACTATAAAATAAAATTAGAAATCAATATTAAAAATATAATTAAAAACAATATTAATGAACAACACTAATTATTTATCCAACAT